ATCACTACGACTACTACTAGTCATCGTCCCACTACTACTACTACTACTACTACTACGACTACTACTACTACTACTACTACTACTACTACGACTATAGTATACTCTACTACTACACTACACTACTACTACTACTCTACTACTACTAACTATTACTACTACTCCTACTACTCTTACTACTACTACTACTACTACTACTACTACTACTACTACTACTACTACTACTAACTAATACTACTACTACTACTACTACTACTACTACTACTACTACTACTACTACTACGACTACTACTACTACTACTACTACTACTACTACTACTACTACTACTATTACCACTACTACTACTACTACTACTACTACTACTACTACTACTACCACTACTACTACTACTACTATTGCTACGACTCCTACTACTACCACTACTACCACTACTACTACTACTACTACTACTACTACTACTACGTATTTTTCTTCTACGAGTACTAGTACCACCACAACCTAGTACTACTGCTCCTGCTGCTACTTTCTGACGAAGCCCACCAGCCATCTAAACAGCAACTCCTGCGACGCATGCCGACCGTCGCGTTTTTTTCTTTTTCTTTTTTTCAGGCGCGTTTCCGCCTGCCCTCGCATATATCCCCTGTTCCTTCTTCCCCCTGCCTCCTTCTACATCCCCCTTGTGGGGGGAGCGGAGGGAGGGCGAGTCGGAGGAGGAGGAGGGAGAGAAGGCGATGGGAGGCAAGACAGAGGGCGGTCGTCGTCGAGTCATACACGCGAACGAGTCAGACGACTCACATGACGGCGACGTCTCAGACGATGACGGCGACGGCGACGACGACAACGACGACGATTACGACGACGACGACGACGACTTCGACGACGACGATTCAATGGACGACGACGTCCACGATCCAGCGATCTCTCCCGACCAGTTGTGCAGTGAGCGTCCCACGGAACTGGTTGCAACTGGGCGCGGGCGGTAAACCGTCAACCTTTTTTTATTTGCTTTGCTCGGGGCCCACGGGGCACAAGTCAGCACCCTGCTCAGGCTCGCAGGCTCGAGCTGAACCTGAAAGGCAGGTTCGCCAATCAAGTTGGGCGCGGGCAGCAGGCGGCAGGTTAGGAGGGAGAGGAGGAAGAGGAGCAGAGGGGGAAACACGCCTCCATGATCGGCCCCCTCGAACAGATCTGAGGACTTCCGCTAGGCAAGGGTAGATTCACGGCACTCAGAGTGTGCAAGTCCTGGACAAGAATAGAGGTGGTGTGAGTCGTTGGGGCCCCTCGCCCTGGTGCGAGTCGTTCGGGCCCCTCCTTGTGTGAGTCGTTCGGGCCCCTCGCCGAACGACTCGCACATCGAGGAGGGGCCCGAACGATTCATACCAGGATGGGGGGACCCGAACGACTCACACCAGGAGGAGGGCACCGAACGAATCCACTGAGCCCTGGTAGCGGCCACACCCAAGGATAAAACTGCCTGAGCTCCCAGTGTAGCCAAGTAGCGATACCACCCATTACTGATTGAGCGGTGTATCAAAAGGTAATCCCACCAATGAACCATCATTGAGTAGAGTAACCAGCACCATCACCTATGCAGGGTAACCAGCACCATCACAGAGTACAGTAACCAGCACCAGAGAACCCAAGTGCGGGCTCCAGCCAGATTGAAATACAAGTCCCACCAGCGGAATGATTCCTATACTAGAGCCCACCTGAAGCGCCACTGAAGCTGAGTAGAGGCACATCCACCATTGGATAGATACCGAGGCCCAAGCCATGTATACAGGAACCACCGAACCCATTGAGGCAACATCCAGTGCCCAGCCTCACTGTACCCAGAGTTATTGTCGCCAGTAAAGCATCCAGCCCCACAGAACCCAACGGTATAGCAGCGTAAAAACCATAGTGGTAAGTATTGAACTAGCCAGTACTGGAGGAGAGACCACGCACCATCTGAGCCCAATGCCTGACACCCCACGGAACCCAGCAAGCACCAATAATAAGAGACAATAACGGCGACCACCTCGGGCCGGGCCCCTCGCCCTGGCGCGAGTCGTTCGGGCCCCTCCTTGTGTGAGTCGTTCGGGCCCCTCGCCGTCGAGCTAGCACGTTGCACGCGATGGAAGCACAACCGAGGTTGTCCTCGTGAACCTTCAGACGCACCACATCTTCGTTACGAACAGACCCCATCGCAGCATCAGCTTGCCCTTCGCCGCATGCAGCAGCGCTGGCCCTTCGCCGCATGCAGCAGCGCTGGCGCGACCTCTGCCTCTACGTTGAACGTGGTCTTGCGAGCCACGTTGCTGGGCCCTAAGCCGTGGCAATCGACGGACATGCGCGCGGCGAACTTCTCCAGGCGGCCGCAACTGCACCCCCGAGCCGCGATATCCGCCGGCGCAAACGCCGTGTCACCGCAAGCTTCCCAGGCAGTGTTGCGGCGCTCCGGGGGAGGCAGCTCCTTCGTGCCCAACTGAGCGACAAGTTTCCTCATGCAGTTCAGCTCACCGCTGCCATCCCCCCTCTGCCTCTTAGAACTTTGACCTTTCTTGTTCGCGATGGCCTGCTCCGCGTAGTCTATTGCTTGCAGGGCGTTCCGTTTTATTCGCCCGAGTAGCTCTGGCGGCAGGCAATCCGCGATGTCTGCTGGGCGACGCCGGTTCGGCGACGACCGGTCGTTGCCAAAAGGAGAGGCAATGACCACCTCCTCATCGGCGCGCACAGCCACCCAAAACTTCCAGACTGACTTGCCGGGCAACGTACTGTGGATGACGTCAGCCCCGCCAGACGGTAACCATGCGCCACGCGCTGCAAGAATGACGCGCGGAATCTCTGGCGCATCTGGAAACCGGCATGCGGCAGGACCTTTCAGCAAGCTATTCGACCCGTTCCGAGACGGATGCGCGCAGCTAAATTCCAAATCTTGGCTTTGCGACGGACCGCCACCATCGATCGATGCTCCAAACGTGCCCCGCATGAACTCGTCGAAGGACGTGCCCTCGCGCTGTTCGCTCCAAGGAGCCCCGTGGCTAGCAAGGTTACCAGAGCGTACGGGCGCTTCTCCATGACTACGGAAGCGATTGCTGGTAGACGGAAGCGATTGCTGGTAGGCGGAGCTAAGCTCACAGCCACACTGCAACACTGTGAACCAGAATGGCAACAGCGACGACAACGCTGGCGGAAATATAGACTTGGGCCTCTCCTGAGAGCCTTGGTGACCTCGTGGCGAGCCCTGGGGGCCTCTAGGGCTGAAGTGTCGTCGTCTGATGTTGTGTGGTGTCGTGTGTAGAGGTTTGTAGTGGTGAGCAGTGGTGTCTAGTGTGGTGCGGTGCGGTGTGGTGCGGTGTGGTGCGGTGTGGTGTGGTGTTGGTGCGGGGTGGTCTAGTGCGGTGCAGTGCGGTGTGGTTCCTGAAATCTCTCCTTTGCTGATTCCTCCGATCTCGCCTTTGCTGCTTCTTGGTTCCTTTTCTGATTCCTGTCGCGTTTACTGATCGTGCTGGTATGGGTTGAGTGGCGTGGCGTGGCGTGGCGTGGCGTGGCGTGGCGTGGTGTGGTGTGGTGTGCTGTGGTGTCGTGTGGTGTGCTGTGGTGTAGCCCGCTGGCGGTCTCTAGATCTCACTGCACAACTGGTCGGGCAGGTTGCTGGATGGGCGGAGCTAAGCTCACTGCCGCTCTCCGAACTATGCGTTCAGAGGGAGACCTGCCCATCCGTGCCGAGTTACGCTCACTGCACAACTGGTCGGGGGAGAACGCTGGATCGTCGTCGTCGTCGTCGCCTGCATCGTCGTCGCCGACGTCGTCGTTGTCATCGTAATCGTCGTCGTCGTCGTCGTCGTGGTCGTCGCCGTCATCGTCTGAGGCGTCGCCGTCATTTGAGTCGTCTGACTCGTTCACGTGTGTGAGACGACGACGACCGCCCTCTGTCTTCCCTCCCAACACCTTCTCTCCCTCCTCCTCCTCGGACTCGTCCTCCTCCCGCTCCCCCCACTAGGTGGATGTACAAGGCGGCAGGAGGACATAGGAACAGGGTATATATGCGAGGGCAGGCAAAATACGCCTGAAAAACACGACTGTCGGCATGCTTCGCTGGAGTTGCTGCTTGGGGATGGGCTGGTGGGGATACGCGAAGCGTGAAGAATTTTCCCATATTTTCTGGGACATCGACGATTAATTGTGTCTGTGTTTTTTCCCCTCCTGAGTTTAGTCATATCCACTGAGCCTCGGATGCCGCGGGAAGTGCGCTCCGGCCAGAACATCGTGGAGAGTCCGACCGTGGCGACGAGGGCTCCCCAGGACGAGCGCCGGCATCGGCCACCTGCTCTGGAGCAGCTGGGAGCAGCACAGACAGAAACTGCCGGAGGTCCGCGCGGATGTCTTGGCTTTGCGCTTGAAGCCCCCCCCCCCGGCGCGCGGAGCGAGCGCGCCAGCGGCGGCGCCGGAGGTGCCGCCAAGGGGGGCCCCGCGCCGGTCCACGCAACCCGCGCGGACCGTCGACGGTTTGTGTTTCTGCCCCGTTTTGGTTTTTCTTGGGTGCTCCCCTTCGAATGCAGTCAAAGCAGGTGGTCAGGATATGCTATAAGCATGCGAGCCCCTGGGACGCCCGTGTGTTGAAACGTGCTCGAGCGTGGCGGGCCATCGACGGTAGTCAAGGATGGGGACCAAAGAGGTACGGATGAATGGGTACGGCCAGGCCTAGGACCGAAGAACATCCTCGAAGAGCATGAGGCCCTCCTGCCAGCCGAACTGAAGCACATTCGAGAGTACCCTCCCCAGGAATGCACAAGAACGTCCAAGCACGAAGAACAGCAGGGTACCCTCCCCGAGCCGACCTCGACCTTATACCTCGGTCCGACGGTACTCGGCGGTGGACAAACCTCCCTTTAGTAAACCTCCCCTTAGTGAAAACGGCCTGGGACCGAAACCGACGGACCTGGACCCGCATAAATGACGGCCGCGACGCCCTCTCGCGAACCGAAAACGGCCAATTCCTTAATCGACGTGTCAGGGTAGGAGGTCTGTCCACCCCCGAGGTACCCATCCTTACCACAGGCTTCGACCGTGTGTGTGCGCCCTTCCGCCCTCCCGGCTGCAGCCCATCAGCGGCGTCATGCCGTTCTGGTCGCGGCTGTTGGGGTCCGCCCCGCGGCCCAGCAGCAGCCGGCAGGCCCCGAGCGCGCCCTCCTCGGCTGCCGCCCGCAGCAGCGCGTAGCCCCAGTCCGAGGTCCTCAAGGGGGCCCAGGGAGACACTGGTAAGTCGACATGAATCCAAAGTCTTCGCATGCTTCCCATAGCTACTCCTCCTGGATCTTCTGCTCACCCCCGATCTCCCGTCCTTTCCAGGATCCGCACCGAGATCACCATCTGCTTGTGCCCGTGCCTGCTTTCCCTCCCGAGGTCCGCGCGTTCACGTCGAGCGGGGCCGCCGGGTCCCGCAGGAGGCCCTCGACCGCCTCGAGGGCGGGCCCCCCGCCCCACTCCCGGACGCCCTCGCCGGGCTTCGGGCCTCGGGGCCCTCGCAGCTCGATGCGGCTCGGCGACGGAGGCGAAGAGAGGTGGGGTCTGTATAGGGCTCCTGTGGTGACTGTTCGCGACGCTGCACCTGGTCGGCAACGCCAACTCGCAGAGTCCCCTACACCGCCACCACATCAGCACGGCTCGGAAACTGAAGCAAAAAGATGGGGTCTATAGGGCTCCTGTCGCGATTGTTCGCGAAGCTGCACCTGTTCGGCAACGCCAAATCGCAGAGTCCGCCGCACCGCCACCACATCAGCAGCCTGGGTCCCAGACCCTCGCGCAGGGAGCAGACATCGCGCGACGAGGGGAGTTGAGGCTGTTGTCGGCCCCTGGGGGCCCTGGCCGGGACCCTGGACAAGGAAGGAACGGCTCGGGATGAAGAGCCGGTCCCAGGGGATGCGTCGAGACCTCTGGGGGTCCACGCCATGAGAAAAGAGCACGACGTCGGGGGTCTGGGGGACGGCTGGTGTGTGGCTGCGCAATGCCCATGCGGCCCGCGCCCCCCCGAGCACCAGAAAGCTGCCACAGGGTCCGCCGTCCTTTCAGGCCTCCCAAATGGGGACCGAGTAGATGGGGTCGACGGATCGGCGATGCATCGGTGATGCATCGGCGACGTCGGCGTGGAGAAAATGGGGTTCCACATCGAGCCGCATCGCCGATGCATCGGAGATGCGGCGCGATCCCCTGATCCTATATGCTCCAGCCCCATCAAGGAGGCCTAAGTTCCATTGGTCGGTGGTGGCGGCAGGTGAATTTGAGGCCCATCACACCCTGATCATTGGATACTTGAATTTTCCAGTCGCGACCGACGACATCGGTCGCTACAGATGTTGGCTCAAAATCCCGCCGACCCAGTCGGCCTGTGTGAGGCCCTTCGACGCGAGGCCAGCCCAACCCAAACTGCGGTACGCCAGCCTCCTTTGAATCGTCGTCCCCTCCTCCTCCGCCTCCTCTTCCTCCTCCTCCGCCTCCTCCTCCTCTTCCTCCTCCTCCTCCTCCTCATCCTCATCCTCCTCCTCTCCTCTCTCCTCCCTCCGCCCTCCTCCTCCTCCTCTTCCTCCTCCTCCTCCTCCTCCTCCTCCTCCTCCTCCTCCTCCTCCTCCTCGTCAACCCTCCACCGCCCGCCCCATGCCCCGAGCCTGTGGCAGGATAATCAGCTCGTTGTTGTCGTTGTCGTCGTGGTCGTCGTCGTGGACAACGTCGTCGGCACCGGCCGTAAAGCCTTCACAATCCGGTCTCAGTCGCGACAAGTTTTGGAATCGGTCGCGATAGGCCACGACCGATTTGGAGTGCAGACCGTTCGCTACCGATCGCGTCCGAAAGGAACTGGCAATGATCTAGGGAAAACACAGGGTACCGATGCCCGATACCGCTGCTCCCCGGACCTCTCCCGGGGTGCCTCCTGACCAGGATTGCGGGGCGAGTCCAGCGGTGGGGGCGAGGGCCTCCCAGGACCTTCAACGAGGGGAACATGGGCGAAGGGCAGCGGAATCGGTGCGCATCCACGGGTGGGCCAGTCGGTGTTGCAGGCGAGAGGAGGGGGAGGAGGGGGAGGAGGAGGAGGAGGAGGAGGAGGAGGAGGAGGAGGAGGAGGAGGAGGAGGAGGAGGAGGACGAGGAGGAGGAGGAGGAGGAGGAGGAGGAGGAGGATGAGGAGGAGGGGGAGGAGGAGGAGGAGGAGGAGGAGGAGGGAGGAGGAGAAGGAGGAGGGAGGAGGAGGAGGGGAGGAGGAGGAGGAGGAGGAGGAGAGGAGGAGGAGGAGGCGGAGGAGGAGGAGGAGGAGGCCCCTGATGCTCTGGGCGGTCCACGTCCACGGCCTCGCTGCCCCGCGCACGCGGGGCGGCGGCGGGACGGGTGCCCTGCGCGGAGCGCGCCCACGGGATCGCGCACTCCGCGGGGCCGGGCGCCCAGGCAACAGACCGCAAGTGCGCGGAGGAGGGGGAGGAGGAGGAGGAGGAGGAGGCGGAGGAGGAGGAGGAGGAAGAGATCAGTCTGCCTTGGCCGCAGCAGACCAGGAGTTGCTCCCCGTGGCCCAGTCGGCCCTCAGACGAGTGGTGGGGATATGAAATCGAATCTCCCCATGAGAATCCAGTGTTCCTCACCGTCGCTCGCTGAATGGCATGTGAGGAGGTACCGCGCCGAGGAAAAGAGGTGAAGGAGGAGCTGCTACGGTCGCGGTCCGCCATTTAGCTTGTATGCGATTTCGGGCATTGCGAAACCAAAGGCGTTGACACGCTAAGCAGCGCAGGGGCGTACACGCTGAGCATGGTCGGGTGATACAGCCCTCCGATATACACGCTAAGCGCTCCAAAACGCTAAACGCTCGAAGGCGCAAAGTAAAACACGCAGCCGCTACCACCAGCCCTGTGGGCGTAGGTGGTCTAGGGAGTTCTCTCGTCCAACCCCCTTCTGCCCCTTCGGAGAGGGATTTACGCACCCATCCTCCTACGTACCCCTTTCCCCCTGGACCTAGACTGTAAGTTTCGCGACCGATTGGAACGTCCAAGATGGCCCAAGACGGCACCAAGAGGGCACTGGAGGGCCCGAGATGGCCTCCCTGCTATTTGCGGGTGTATCCCACTGTCACCCCACACTTCTGCAAAGCTACGTGCCCCGCAGCATGGAGACACAACGTGCAGCAAGCAATGTCTACAATGCGAGCGGGAATGGTGTCCCCTCCTATTTGCGGGTGCATGCCGCTCTGCCCTCACAGCTCGTGCAGCAAAGCTACGCACCAACTCGTTACAGCACATGGCGACGATGAGAAGGCAGCGGAGGCGCATTGCCGCGAGAAAGGAGGAGAGAATTCGCTGATACTCCAAGATGTCCCCAGACACTCCAAAATGGCTCAAGATGGCTTCCAAGATGCTCAAGACTGCTCCCAGACGATGCCAAGTGGGCTCGGGGCCTCCCTTTGGACGCGCCGAAGACGCCGAATACCTCAAACACCTGGTAAGGAAAGTCGCTAGCATTCTCGACTTGTCACTGACATTATCAACTGATCCATGATGCATCGCTAGTAGTCAAACACACGATGCTAGCATTCTCGACCTTTCGCTAACGATGACCTTCCGAAGCCTCAAGATGGCCCCTGGACGGTCCAAGAGAGCCACAAAAGGGGTCCACGATGGCCCCAAGATGGCCCCGAGAGCGTCCCAAGAGCACCCCAAGAGCGCCCCAAGAGGACCCCAAGAGGCGATGTCGATGGCTCCAGAGGGGCGAGGGTAATTCGTGACCCCCTTGTTTGATCGATGTCCTCCAAGATGGTCCCAAGAGCGCCTCCAAGGCCCCCAAGAAAGCCCCAACATTGCCCCATCAGGCGCTCAAGAAACCCCAAGAGGTCCCCAAGAGGCACCCAAGAGGACCCAAAGCGGCCCCAAGAGGACCCCCGAGGCCCCCAAAATGCCCCACCAGAAACCCCGGGACCGCTAAGAGCAGCACCAGCATCATCGTCATCGTCATCGTCATCGTCATCATCATCATCATCATCATCATCATCATCATCATCATAATCATCATCATCATCAGCAGCAGCAGCATCATCATCATCATCATCAGCATCATCATCAGCATCATCATCATCATCACCATCATCATCAGCAGCAGCAACACCATCATCAACATCGTCGTCGTCATCATCATCTGAATAATCAGCATCATCAGCATCATCATCAGCAGCAGCATCATCATCCCTCTCCCTCCCATCATCATCCCTCTCCCTGCCACCACTGGACATACACGCTAAGTACCAACCGCGCAGGATACACGCGAAGTGCGGAGCACTTAGCGTGTATAGGCGTACTCCCAACTACACGCTAAATGGCGGACCGCGACCGCAGGAGGAGGAGGAGGAGGAGGAGGAGGACGGAGGAAGGGATGTGCCCAAACATGCGATGCCCTGATTTGTTTGACACGGGGTACCCGGAAGTCCCGACCCTCTCCCCAGGGCCGCCTTTCCGTCCCGAAACGATGTTTGACGGCCCCGGAGCCCAGCGAAGGCCCCCTGAGGCCGAAAACGGCCAAAAACCTCCCGTCGTGTTTTTGTTGCACCGCCAGCAGATGACCATATCACCATATCCACAACCGCTCCTCGAGATCTCAGGGCACGACTCCGAAGCGGTGGATGTGGACATATTCTGGCGATGGATTTCGGACTACCTACCAGACCACCCCAACCCAACCCGAAGACCCGAATTTCGGGCGGGGGGGGGGAATACGGGTTCCACATGTGTTTTTGTCAATGCTCTCCGACCCCCCCCACTGGAAATGGAAGGCACATTGAGGCCTTCGGGTTGGGTTGGGATGGTTTGGCTTTCTGTCACGACGTGAGCAGCACGTCTGCGTGGAAGCCGCCCGCCGCCCGCGGGCCTCCCAGTCCTCCGCCTCGACGGCCGCGACCAGCCGCGCGCTGGCGGCCTCCCGGCCTGCCTCGGCCTCGGCCGAGGGGCCCTCCGCCTTGGGGAAACGCCCAAGGCCGTTTAAGAAGAACGCCCGTTGTCCGGTCCAGGCGGCTTCTCCTCCCTTGATAAAAAGGTATCGATACCGCTACTCCCCAGTGCCACACTGGCGGCGACGTCTCATGGAGAAAGTCCTGCAGGCCTCGCGCGGCAACTTCAGACCCAACTTACGTCGGCTCGACGTCGGATGTACGTTGGAATCACGTCGGATTACGTCGCATGTACGTCGGACTGACGTCGCACGCTCGCCGGAGCATCGCCGTGCAAACGTCGACCAGATCGTAAGGAACGGACGTGTGATCTAGATATTCCAACGATTGTGCACCGCGCGAAGCCTCCCAAATTTCCCTCATATGATGTTGGTTAACGGCGATGTCGGGAATCCGGTTTTTGTGCCGCCGACCTCGCGCAGAACAAATGGTAGGAAAACGCGAACAAGCCTTCCCTAGAATTGGGTTGGCCACGAACCACCCCCTCCTACAGCACCGAAACCTGCATTGACACCATGCCAATCATTCAACCTTGAATCGATCTCGGCCCCGATCGTTGAAGGTTGAATGCCGTCGGGTCCTGTGGCGTCACCGTGCCCCTCGGTGCTTACGCGTCGTTCTATTATGCGGAATTCAACCTTGAACGCCTTCGTCGGCGTCACCAGCGCGCCATCGCCGCATGAACCCACTGTACTGGGTGCGACTGGCCCGTATCTCGAGGCGAATCCAGCGGCCCATGGCAACGAGGGCCACCCAGGAGGCTCAAGAAGCCGAAAACAATGGAATTGCAGTGGAAAGAAATACTTTTAGGTCGGGCATGTCCTCCTACAGGCAGATTCTGGACGAAAACTAAAAAAATGTTCAAAAAAAGATTCCCGAATGGTTTTTGTTTAAGCCCATGTGATCATGTTTGAATATTCCTCCTGTAGAGGGATAGGCCCGACTTCATGGAAGGGGTACTTTGTTCCTCCTCTGACGCCTGCACGTCGGCGGCGGCGGCCCCCGCGCCGGCCACGGCAGCGTCGGCGTCGGCGGCCGCGGCGACGCCTGGGCCCTCCGGCGCCGAGGGCCCCTCGGGGGCCACGGCGTCCTCTGCTGGGAGGGCGCGCGGGGCCGCGCGGCCGGGCTGGTCTGCCGTGGGGCCACGCGCAGAGGGGGGGTCGGGGGCGAAGGAAGTCTTCGCAAAGGAGGCCGCTTCTTAGAACGCGCGGCCCTGATCTGAAGATGTGGAGGCCCGCGACTATTGAGAAGCAGTCTCCTTCTGAGAAGCCACCCGCCCTCCCCCGACCCCCTTGTGCGCGCCGCCAAGTTCCGTGGGAGGGGGGGCCTGCGTGCGGACACCATCGCCCCAAATCGGGATGGGGCACCTCCGTCGAGGGAAGGACGATACTGGTGGCCTGCCACGTGGAATCCGCACACATGCGGTCGGTGGATCACGCCGCATCGGGGCATCGGCGACGTCGGCGATGTGTCAACATCGTCGGCGCGGACAAAACAGGACTTCGCATCGAGCCGCATCGCCGATGCATCGGCGATGCGGGCGGCGCGCTCAAGTGACCCAGACAACATCTTGGAAGCCTACAGCATCGGTCATGGGAGCCTCCCATGGAGCGATCTACCATCCCTGGAAACGACGGGCACGAACCCCTGAACGCGCACACGCAAGCCCCAGAAAGGCCAGCCACACGAGCCCCGAAAGCCTGAGCAACCACCCATGGAAGCAATAGACAACACACGAAACCCAGAAACCCCGGAGGCAACTCTCGCGTTCCTCCTATTTCTTCCTCCGCCACCTTCTCCTCCTCGTGCTCCTCCTCCCCATCTTCTTCATCATCATCACCACCACTCACCATCCTAGTCATCACCATCACCATCGCCATCACCATCATAATCAGCATCATCATCATCAGCATCATCACCACCACCACCACCATCACCATCATCATCAGCATCGTCATCGTCATCATCATTATCAATAGCATACGCATCGTCATCGTCATCGTCATCGCCATCGCCATCCCCATATTCATCATCACAACCACCACCACCATCATCATCAGCATACTTAGCAGCACCCGCATCAGCATCAGCACCAGCATCATCGTCATCATTCGCATCACCATCACCACCAGAATCATCAGCATCATAATCATCAGCAGCAGCATCGTCACCATCGTCATCGTCGCCGTCGTCGTCGTCGTCGGCGGCGTCATCCTGATCATCATCATCATCATCACCATCAGCATGTCCATCACTATCAGCATCGGCATCATCATCAGGATAGCCCTCACCATCAGCATCACGAATACCACGGCCACCACCACCCCCACCACCACCACCACCACCACCACCACCACCACCACCATCATCATCATCATCATCATCATCATCATCATCATCATCATCATCATCACAATCACCATCACCATCATCATCATCATCATCATCATCATCATCATCATCATCACCATCATCATCAAAATCATCACCAACGTCAGCAGCATCATGCTCATATTCATTCTCTCGCTCCGCCCTGGCGACCAGTCTCCGCGCGCGCTTGCCGGCGATTCCCCGCGCGCCTGCCGGCGCCCCCGCCCGCGCCGGCGGGGCAGACCCGCCGCCGGGCGCGAGGGGGCCGACGCGCCGCGCTCAGGCGCGGGGCTCCTGGCCGCCGAACGGCGGCGCCGCCAGCGAGCGATGGGGGGGCCAGGCAGCGCAGCCCCCGCAGCGCGCATGGGCAGCCGCGCAGCGCGTGCGCCACCAGCTTCAGCGAGGCCGCGAGTCAAGGGGGGGGGGCCGAGTCGCTGCAGAGACCGCGGGGGGGGGAGTCGCAAAGGATAAGAGGAAGCATTCTCTCGCTCTGGCCTGGCGGGCGGTCTCCGCGCGCGCACCCCGGCGCCTCCGCGCGCGACGGCGGGGCGCGGACCCGCCACCGGGCGCCAGGGGGGACGGCGCGCCGCGCCCAGGAGCGGGGCCCCTGGCCGCCGAAAGGCGGCGCAGCCATGCCTGGGCTCAAAGCCCTTGCGAAGTGACGAGGTTCTGGCGGGCGGCCGCGCGTTGGACAGACCAGGCTGGCGACCCAGCAATCAGAAAAGAGGCAAGCGACCGACTGCTGGCGGAGGCGAAGGGAAGCACCCGAGGCGTGGCGGCCTCAGAGAGACGCAAGGACAGTCGAAGCAGCAGCAGCTTGGAGGTAGCGCCCAGCGCTCGAGGCCCGGCGCCACCTACCTCGCCAGAAGACGCGGGGGACGTCTTCTGTAGCTATGTAGAACCGATGTAGAAGTCAATAGTACCTGAACCCCGCAGACAACCAGGGGTCAAATTCAGTCCCGCGGCGGCTTTGCCGAGGGGAGCGCCCAACGCCGAAAGCAAGTGATTCCACCGAGCACGAAGGCCGCTGGCCCCGAGGGAGGCGAGCGGATCGGTGGAAGCGAGATGTCAGAAAAACACTGTCGAACAGGTCCACTGACCGACGATCCGAATACCTCGCGTGCCGAGCGGGGTAGGAACGACGGGTCTTCGGCGCCGCGACGGCCAGAAAACGCGTCGCCTGTCGGCTCGAGACGGTCCGACGGCAAGGAACAGTCGCACCTCCCTGCCGTCGCGAGTTCCCCTGGACGCAGGCAGACAGCAAAACCGAGCAGCGGCCAGGCGGCCATGTCTGGCCAGTCCCGGATGAGGCAGAGGCCAACCATCGCGCGCAAGAGCGCGCGAGGCAACGGGGGGCGAAGCATCGGAGGCTCTGCAATCTTCAACCTGTTTGGCGACGCCCCAGGCTTCTGCAAGGAACGCCTGCCAGGGGGGGCGCGCTGACTGGGCGCCCAGCAGGGCATGCGTAAGGATGTCGCGGTGGAAACCAGCGTCGCGCAACCATGCTCTGAAGGTGGCCAGCGCTCGCGTCAGGGGCGCGCCGCTTCGGTAGACGGCGGTCGGAGCCACTCTGGCGCGCTCGACGACCCAGGGCTCGAACGCATCGGTCGATCGGGATCCGCGATCGAGGCGCTCGGGGGCCAAGTGGGAATCCCGAGCGAAAGACGCGCGAGGGGCGCGGGGCCGCGCAGGCCACGCGGCGCCGCGCCCGCGGCCAGCGAGCGCGGCGGCGGCCGCCGAGGCAGGAGGGCCCCCAGCGGCAGCGTGCACGCGAAGCCCGCACGCGCACCAGAGCAGCACGGCAGGCGCGGGGCCTCTGCTGCTCCGCAGGGCCACGCGGCCCGTCGAGAGGGCCGCGCGCCGCTCGCGCGACGAAGTACGGCGGCAGCCTCCCCTCGTCGACCCCTGACCGAGACGCCGTCTCAGCGCGCGCCTCGGCGAAGGAGTCGTCTCTCGCGTCGGCGATGCCCCGCGCGATCGCCTCGACCCCCGAGGGCGCGCAGAGCGCCTTGCCCCGGGGGGCGGGGGCGGGCGGGCCAGCAGGGCACGCCGCGCGATCGCGGCGACATGCCCGACTGAGAGGTCGGGTTAGGCGCGCTGCAGATGGCTCGGTAGCTTTCGAGCAGATCTGCAGGCCCCTCCTCGTCGCGCCACAGGCGCGGTGGGAGCAGCTCGGCCTTCTCGGAGAGACGCGCGAAGAAGGCGCGCGCGCAGGCCAGGCCGGCCGCGCGGCGCCGCTGGGCGACTATGTTGCCCGAGCCGATGCCCCATGACCCCCCGTCCGACCGCCTTCTTGTCATCTGAGGGCACCCGGTCAGCCCCGGGAGGGCATCGGCATTCATGGGCAGCAGCCACCCCGTATCCGAAAGAGGGCGCGCACCTCCATCGCCGAAGAGACGCCCATGTCTGCGCAGCACGGCGATCAGGCAGTCGAGATGTCGATTTCGCGCAGTTCATCCGCGCAAGCAGGCGCGAAATGCCGCAGCCAAGAGACCGCGCGCTGAAACGGATATGTCCGATCCTCGGAATACTGCGCGACGGTCAGAAGCTCGCCCTCCACTTCCAGCCGCCAGAAAAGCGCCGAAGCGGCGGCTGGAAGGGCGGTCGGCTCTGGCGATTCGTCGCGGCCTGGAGGCGAAGGAGCGGGAGCGCCAGCAGAGGAAGCTTCTGAAGGAACCTTCGACGCTGGCAGGGTGACAACACGCCTGCGACGCTTGGACGGAGACTCCGCGCGGCCAGCAAGCGGCCCGCCGATTGGCCGAGCAGCGACGGCGCGCCCCCCCCGCCCCTGCGGCGGCGCAACGCCCTTGGTGGAGGGGCGCATGCCAGCCGGCCTAGCACTCGAGAGGTCTCTCGATCCTCGGCGCGGGGACCCTGCTGCACGACCCCGACGATCGCTAACAGCCACGCCTAGCTCCAAGATGCTCCACCCACGACCTGGAGCGACCCCGCCTCCGACTGGCACCCGAAGACCGAGCGGGCTGCCTGCGCGACGCGGACTCCGCGGCCGCGCCCTGCTCGGACGCCGCGGACCGTCGAGCGGCTAAGACGATCGCGCGCTCATCCGAGATCCGGCCCGCCAGCGAGGTAAGCGCGGACCTGAGCGGGGTCCGATCGGAGTCGAAATCCGAGTCGCAGGGGCCCGTGGAACTCCCGGCGCGGGAGGCCAGGGGCGGGGCAGACTCGGCGCGCCCGCGACGCGGGGGGGTCGTCGGACGCCGCCCCGCGGGAGCTGGCGCGGCAGGCCGCGGTCTGCTGCGGAGCGGCTGCAGGCGGGCCAGCGGCTGGGCGAGCCTCCGACACAGAACGCCTGCCGGGCGAACCGCCAGGGTCGGCGCCGCCAAGGTCGGCGCCAGCGTCCTCCGCCGACTCTCCGCTAGCCGCGGCCGTAGGGGTTCGGAGGCCTCCCGGCAGGGCTCGGGCCTCCGCCCCGACTCGGCGACGTCGCGGAGGGACAGCTGCGGGAGCGCCGGGCGACGCGCTGCGCCGCAGCGCCCGTCGCGCGCGGCGCGGCGCCGGAAACGGAGCCGAACGCGCGACGTTAGCGGCCCGCCGGGCGCGGCGGCCAGGCGCAGGCGCGCCCCCCCCCCCCCCCTGTTACGGCCCAGGAATCCGCAACGCGGCCGCCACGGGCCCGTCGGGGGCAGGGAGGGCCCCGGCCGTCGTCGGGCGGCCCGTCGATCGCTGCGCGACATGGCGCTGGCAGGATCGCCGGCGCGC